ATCAGTGGCAGGAATACAATCCAGGAATCTTGAGTCAGAAACCCTGGCTGTGACCATTTGAGAATGACCTCTCACTAAAACAGTCTCTGTCTCAATCTCAATGTACAAACTGCAAAAGCATTTTCTCTCCTATGAGGCCCATTCAAGCTTTTATTTACTTGAAAGAATGAAGCCCCATGAGACATCTCACATCAGCCTTGGTGTCTTTTTGTGGTTGAAAGAGACATAGTTTGTACTTGTATTGTTTGGTCAAAACTCATCATTTCCATTTTGTGGAAAATTTTGAAATGTTGTTTCTTTGATCTGAATCAGAATCAAATGCAATCTCTTAGGCCTGGTCTACACTAGGAGTTTATGTCGAATTTAGCACCGTTACATCGAATTAACTCTGCACCCATCCACACCACGAAGCTATTTAGTTGGACATAGAGGTCTCTTAAATTTGACTTCTGTACTCCTCCCCAACGAGGGGAGTAGCGCTAAATTCGACATGGCCATGTCGAATTAGGCTAGGTGTGGGTGGAAATCGACGGTAATAGCTCTGGGAGCTATCCCACAGTGCACCACTCTGTTGACACTCTGGACAGCAGACCGAGCTCGGATGCTCTGACCAGCCACACAGGAAAAGCCCCGGGAAAATTTGAATTCCTTTTCCTGTCTGGGCAGTTTGAATCTCATTTCCTGTTTGGACATCGTGGCGAGCTCAGCAGCACTGGCAACAATGCAGAGCTCTCCAGCAGAGATGGCCATGCAATCTCAGAATAGAAAGAGGGCCCCAGCATGGACTGATCGGGAAGTCTTGGATCTGGTCGCTGTGTGGGGCGATGAGTCCGTGCTTTCCGAGCTGCGAGCGAAAAGACGGAATGCAAAGATCTATGAGAAGATCTCTAAAGCCATGGCAGAGAGAGGATACAGCCTGGATGCAACGCAGTGCCGCGTGAAAATCAAGGAGCTGAGACAAGGCTACCAGAAGACCAAAGAGGCAAACGGACGCTCCGGATCCCAGCCCCAGACATCCCGTTTCTACGAGGCACTGCATTCTATCCTAGGTGCGGCCGCCACCACTACCCCACCAGTGACCGTGGACTCTGAGGATGGGACATTGTCGACGGCCGCTTCCTCGGACATGTTAGCGGACGGGGAAGATGAGAAAGGAGATGAGGAGGACGAGGCAGTCGACAGCGCTTACAACGCTGATTTCCCCGACAGCCAGGATCTCTTCATCACCCTTACAGAGATCCCCTACCAACCGTCCCCAGCCTTTAACCCAGACACAGAATCAGGGGAAGGATCAGTCAGTAAGTGTTTTAAACATGTAAACATTTATTTGTAACAGAAGAGGAATATTAACAATATTAATAATGGGTTTGTCATGATTAGTTTGCCCTAGGCGCTTAACGTCTCAGTCCCTGGCAGTGCAACTACTCAAAAAAAATCTAACAATGTCCGGTTTAGCATGATTGTTCTGCCCTAGCCGCTCTACTGTTTAGTCCCTGCCATTGCAGCTAGAGTAAAATCCGGTCTATATGTCCGGGGATAGAGCTGAAATCCTCCAGGGACATCTCTACGAAGCTCTCCTGGAGGTAATTGGAAAGCCTTTGCATGAGGTTCCTTGGGAGAGCGGCCTTATTGGGTCCTCCGTAGTACAAAACGTTTCCGCGCCAGGAGACAAGCAAGTACTTGGGTATCATTGCCTTGCAGAGCATGGCGGCATACGGCCCTGGTCTTTGCAGGCTTTCCCGAAGCATCCGTTCTTTCTCCGTCTCTGAAATCCTCATCAGAGTGATGTCGCTCATGGTGACCTGCTTTGAATTAGGTAGGGGAATGTTAGTATTGGGACTGCTTGTCTGTTCCTTTACAGAACTGTAACCAGCAGTTTACAGCCACGCGGTGGAGGCGGGAGAGGGGCAGCATACAGGGATCTTTCCCTGGGACAGCCGCGAGGGGGTGGGACAGGGGCAGAGTTCATGCTTGCCGGATTGCTGGCAGCAGGGACTGGCATTGCTTTGAACGTGAAAGGAGCCCAGTGCTATTATTAAAGTTTTAAGCAGCCACAAGTCTACGGCTTACCATGTCGGCCTGCATCACAGATTCCGGTGTCCTGCCCCGCTTCTCTGATCTGCACTGCAAGACCCCAGGCACTGAATGCGAAGGCCAAAAATTAGACCTTGTCCTGAGTGTGCATGTGATAGGTGCTGTGCATGGTCTTGTTCACAGAGAAAGACTATGTTCTTTGTTCACAACTAAATTTATCTTTCTGAGGAATTCACTCCCTTTTTCCCATCCCACAGCTGCGACTGTCTCCCAACCTAGCCTGGCATCACACTCCCAGAGGCTAGCGCAGATTAGGCGTAGGAAGAAGAGGACACGGGAGGACATGTTCTCGGAACTTATGGGCTGCTCCCGAGCCCAGGCAGCCCAGCAGACCCAGTGGAGGGAGAACTTGTCCCAAATGCACCGATCACACATGGAACGGGAGGAGAGGTGGTGGCAGGAAGACCAGCAGGCGACTCAAACGCTGCTTGGACTAATGAGGGAGCAAACAGACACGCTCCGGCGCCTAGTGGATGTTCTGCAGGACCGGAGGCAGGAGGACAGAGCTCCGCTACAGTCTATCTGTAACCGCCCTCCTCCGCCACCAAGTCCCATAGCCCCCTCACCCAAAGTCCCAAGAAGGAGGGGCGGCAGAGTCCGTGAAAACTCTCACTCCACCCCTGCAGAGTGCTCTAGTACTAGAAGGGTCTCATTCCCTAAAATTTGATAAGTCCTTTCCTTCCCGCCTCACCCAAGCCCCCGTCCAAGTTTCATCCCCCAGTTTCATGTGTAGTTGCTAATAAAAAATACGTTTCTGTTAATTACTGTTTCCATCATGTTCTTTTAGAGGAGAGTCTGTCTGAAGGGGGGGAAGGGGGTTGGTAATTGGACAGGACAGTCACCTTTACCAGGGTACAGAGGCGGGGGCAGGTTCAGCAGCAGGGCACACACACATTGCAGTCACTAGTTACCCTGGTCAGTCTGGGAGGTGGTTTTCATGTTCGGGGGGTGGGGGGGCTATGTGACTTTGTGGCGGGGGAGGGCGGTTAGAAATCTTATGCAGCGGTCCTTATCTTAGATCACAGAGCCACACAGCAGGGGATCTGTAACCGTCCTCCCCCTGCCACAAAGTCACATAGCCCCCACACACATAGTCCCGAACAGGAGGGGTGGCAGGCTCCGTTGAAACAACCAGTCCACCAGTGCGGAGCCTGTCATTCCTGGAGTTTAGAAGCGTCCTTTGCATCACTACACTACACCTGCTCCCCACCACAGTCTGTGTCCCAGGTTCAACACTTTACCGAGAAAACAGTAATAAAGAAAACGGTGTTCATTAACAAAATTCCAGTGATTTTATTTTTAAACGTGTGTTGGAAGGGGGGGAACGGGGTATGTAACTGGAGAGGATAGTGAACATTTACTGGGTAAAGAAACGGGGGCAGGTTCAGCTTCTCTGTAAACAAACTTAATAGTCACAGGTTACCCTGCTCACTCAGGAACCTAGCTTTCAAAGCCTCCCGGATGCACAGCGCGTCCCGCTGGGCCCTTCTAATCGCCCGGCTGTCTGGCTGGGCGTAATCAGCAGCCAGGCTATTTGCCTCAACCTCCCACCCCGCCATAAAGGTCTCCCCCTTGCTCTCACAGAGATTGTGGAGCACACAGCAAGCTGCAATAACAATGGGGATATTGGTTTCGCTGAGATCACAGCGAGTCAGTAAGCTTCTCCATCTCCCCTTGAGACGGCCAAAAGCACACTCCACCACCATTCTGCACTTGCTCAGCCGGTAGTTGAAGAGTTCTTTTTCAGTGTCCAGGGCGCCAGTATAGGACTTCATGAGCCAGGGCATTAGCGGGTAGGCTGGGTCCCCGAGGATGACTGCAGGCATCTCCACATCCCCAAGAGTTATTATGTGGTCCGGGAAGTAAATACCTTCCTGCAGACCAGAGTTCCTGAAAACACGAGCGTCATGAACCTTGCCCGGCCATCCGACGTTGATGTTTGTAAAACGTCCCCTATGGTCCACCAGTGTTTGCAGCACCATTGAAAAGTAGCCCTTTCGGTTAATGTACTGGCTGGCCTGGTGGTCCGGTCCCAGGATAGGGATGTGAGTTCCATCTATAGCCCCACCGCAGTTTGGGAATCCCATCGCGGCGAAGCCATCTATGATGACCTGCGCGTTACCCAGGGTCACTACCTTTGAGAGCAGTAGCTCAACGATTGCGTTGGCTACTTGCATGACAATAACCCCCACGGTAGATTTGCCCACGCCAAAGTGGTTCGCGACTGACCGATAGCTGTCCGGCGTTGCAAGCGTCCAGAGGGCTATGGCCACTCGTTTCTGGACACTCAGGGCTGCTCGCATCCCGGTGTCATTGCGCTTCAGGGCAGGGGAGAGCAACTCACAAAGGTCCATAAAAGTCCCCTTCCGCATGCGAAAGTTTCGCAGCCACTGGGATTCATCCCAGACCTGCAGCACTATGCGGTCCCACCAGTCCGTGCTTGTTTCCCGGGCCCAGAATCGCCATTCCACAACATCCACATGACCCATTGCCACCATGATGTCCTCGGCGCGGGGTCCCATGCTTTGTGACAGCTCTGTGCCACTCTCAGACTTCAGGTCCTCACCGCGCTGCCGTAGCCTCCTCGCCCGATTTCTCAGCATCTCCCTCTGGAAAAGGTGGATGATAAGGTGCGAGGTGTTGACAACGGCCATAACTGCAGCAATGGTCGCAGCGGGCTCCATGCTCGCAGTGCTGTGGCGTCCGCGCTGTCACTCACCAGAAAAGTGCGCGAACTGATTTCCCGTCGGCGCTTTCAGGGAGGGAGGGCGGGAGTGACGGTTGGATGACAACAGTTACCCAAAAGCACCCTCGACACATTTTTTTACCCAGAAGGCATTGGCTGCTCGACCCAGAATTCCAATGGGCAGCGGGGACTGCGGGAACTGTGGGATATCTGCCCACAGTGCACCGCTTCCAATGTCGATGCTTGCCCCGTTAGTGTGGACTCACAAAGTCGAATTACTGTCCTTAGTGTGGACACACACGTTCGACTTTGTAATATCGATTTCACATATTCGATTTAAGTAAAATCGAACTACTCTCATAATGTAGACATACCCTTAGAAGAGAGAGATCAGTTATAACAGAAAGTTACATAGGTTTTGCATTGCTATTGTTTTGTTTAGACAATTTATTCTGTTCTTGATTTAAATAAAAATGAACTAGGCTATTATTGAACCTGAATTTGCATTAGCAGAAGGCTAGGTAGTGCTATAATGCATTTTGATTTTTCAGGCACACTTAAATGTCACCCCCATTAGGGTTATGATTAAGGGTCATTTTATTATTTGTTTTCATCATGCTCTATAGCTCAAAACACTCACTGTTCAGGAGATGTGGAGTGGAATAGCTATGCTAATGGCATTTTAAAAAAATAATTGCAAGGAACTTACACAAACAGAAGTTACCAAACGAAAAACAGACATGCCATGTGAAGAAATGATGAATTACACTTTAATGGATTAGTAGACCCTCTTTCTTTAGCTCTATTTTATACAGGGTCACAGTTTACTGTGCTATGTCAGACACAGTTTTAAGAACTCCTTTATCTTCATAGATGCAATTAATGCTAAAATAAGTACAATGCTTGCAGCGCTGTAGGATAAGGCTTTGATAAGTCTTCAAAGAAAGATTTTTTTTCTTTTACTTTTAGATGTGGATACTCTTAATGTAAGAATATTTTCAATGAAGCCTCTGTAGCATAATAACTCAGTAGGTTGTCCTTTGATGCACTTAAATACCCTGTGGTCTATAATATACTCTGAGAGACAAAGGCTTGGTCTACACTACATACGTACTTCAGTATAACTGCGTTGCTCAGGAGCATGAAAAATCCACGCTCTTCCACTGACATAGCTACAGCCTCTCGTGGAGGTGGACTTACGAACCCGAAGAGAGAGCTATCTACCATCGGCTTAGTGTCTTCACCAGACGTGCTGCAACAGAGCCGCTGCATCAGCACAGCTGTACCAATGTAAATTTGTAGTGCGGACCTGTCCAAAGTCTGCTCTCAGGTTCTCCAGTGTAAATCCAAACTAATTCCACTGTCTTCAGAGGAGAGTAACCCTGGATTTGTACTGGAGTAGCACAGAACAATTTAGGCCAGACTTCCTTTACATCCTATGCAAACTGATCTCTGTGTGTGAAACACCCTCTTTCCATCTCTTCCCAAATTCTTGCAGTTTGAATTTTTGGCTCTGTTGCAAATCCACATTTTAAGGGCCATGTTTAAGGATCTCAGGTTTACAAAGGAGAATGTTCTTGAGTCTACATTTCAATGCATATTTTAATTCTGATAACGTAGTTAAACCATCTGAACTTTTCTTACTACTAACCTTTTCAGTACAGAGACATTTAAAAATAAATCTTTTTTCCCCCTGTACTATAAAACTCTCACTTCAGACTATGACACAAAAAGGTCTGTAGTCTTATATAGTCATAATTTGAACCCATCATTTTTCTTTTTTTTTTATTCTAACTCAGATCTCCTTACACCTCTATCTTTAAAGGAATTTCTTACATCAGTGCTAGAGAAAAGAATTGCTAACGATAACAGGCTGTCCAGGTGAGCATCACTCGGATAATCCATCCCAATACACACAAGTGCTGATTGCAAAAAAACAGATGTATGCAGATGGACCTCTGTGCCAGTTTGGAGAAATCCTATTGAAGTCAGTGGGGTTCCTCCACAGCACAGGGATCTTTACATGCACATGACTGTGCAGGATTGGAGCCTTATATATTTTTTTTAAATAACTACTGAGTGTTTTGGATGTCCAGTTTGTGACCCCTTAAAAGGGCCTGTTTTTGAGAAGTGTCAGACACTCAAAATCATCAGTCATGCTTGAACCTGTAGACCTAGATATCTATCTATGTTCTTTCATGGCCCCCATCATCATGATATCCAACAGCCTCATAGTCATTAAGTATTTACCATCATGACACCACTGAGAAGCAGGAAGGATGGAGAATTGAGGCACAGAGAGATTAAGGGCCTGATCCATCTCCCTTTAAATCCAATGGAAAGACTCCATGGACTTTAATGAGAACTGGATTTGACACTAAGGGCCTGATGTTCAAAGGTAATTAGGTGCCTAAAGATACAAATAGGCAATGCAAAAACGGTCTTCAAAAAGTGTATGTGTGTGGGGGGGTGTCCTATCATAATCTGGGAGCAGCAGCTCAATTAATTATTTTTATGTATTTATTTATTTTGCTGTGTCTGTGACCTATAGTGTCTCCCCACTCCACGTGCGTGTGCACATTTTTTAAGTACTGCAGATAGGCACCTATTACAATCTTCAGAAGGCTTAGGTGCCAAATGCCACTGATTTCAATGGGAGTTCAGCACCAAGGCACTTCTCAAAATACCACTAGCCGCCTAGCTGTATCTTCAGGCATCTAAATACTTTTGTAAATTTGGCTCTAAAAATCAACACAAGGTCCCACAACAAGTCTGTGGTAAAGGCAGGAATTGAATGGAGTGCCCAAACCACACATTAACTACAACCCCGTCCTTCTTCCTTGTTCCAGATATCCATGTCCAACAGTAACTTCAGCAGGCTGAGCTAAAACTGTTTGATTGATCTTTAAATTAAGTGGCTGAAATAAACATTTTAATTAAGATTGACCATTAAGTTAATATTAATAATTGCATAACAATTCATTTAATTAAAAAAATCTTGCTGGAAGTTGATTAGCTAGATGATAGGAACATCTCATTTACATTTACAAACCTCTTAAATGTCAAAAATATATGCATTTGATAATCATTTTGTATTTGTTTAGCAAACAAGAACTCTCTTGTTAAATATGTTTTGTGAGCAATGACATGACAAGGATCATATTCTCTGCCTACTCACCTTTGGAGTCCAGGCTGCACTATCCAGAGTAAATGCCAGTCTGCTCCAGAGCCCCAATATCCCGTTTCCCAGTATCCAGTGGAATCATAACTTTTAGTGACATTCATGCTCTGTAAAGTCAGACAGTCAGAATCCGCTCTCTACTGTAGGGATTACTAGTGAAATATATGTAAAGAACCCTGAGTAATGTTACCAGGAGCTGAATCTAGCTCTGTGACTTCACTGGGGGAATGTACAGTATGGGATTCCTAATTTAGCATTTTGCTATGGCAGAAGAGGGCTGATGAAATTCCTGTCCACAACAGAGATGAATCATCATATATATAAATCCATTACAATCAACACACCCCACAGACTATGGTGAGAGATTGTGGCATCTGATGAAGTGGGTTTTAGCCCACGAAAGCTTATGCCCAAATAAATGTGTTAGTTTCTAAGGTGCCACAAGGATTTCTCATTGTTTTTGCATCACATATACAATGCACAGAAAGGGGTGCCTCCACAAATGTGAATTTTGGCTGGATCAAGCCTCTCTGGCAAATGGTTCACATGAAGTTTTGTTTTACAATTGCACAGTAGTGACCTGATTCTCATTTATGCTACCGTCCCTTTACACCTCTTTAGCAGTGTAATTTACACTTACTTTAAGAGCAGTGTAAAGTGACCTTAGTGTAAATTATAATCAAGCCCTAAATTTGATTAAGATGTGTTAACTGTGCTTGACATTTATTAGTTCTTTAGATGGCAGAGGATAAGATATTGTCCTTTGGTGAATGAAAGACTGTAATTCACTCAAGGCTCACACACACCCTGCCAATGCCATAAACCTCAAGTGCAGAGCACTCTAGAAGCCTGAGGGGGGGGGGCGGGGGAGATGTATATTCACTTTGGGCCATAAACTGCTGCTTCTAAAAAAAATTACCATACTTTAGATAAGCAGACAATTCAACATTAATATTAATACTGATGTGGCATCATCCAGGCCAATCAGTATCAAAATGATCAATATTTCCACAGATTGATTGTTTTTTGAAAGTGTAAGAAAAAATGCAATAAAAAATCAGATGGAAAAAAAAATGTCAAAAATGTAATACAAGGAAATGCCAGCTGGAGCTTCCAGTTTCATGAACTTTGTTTATGATGTCACAATAAATCTTCAGTGGAATGATGCCTGTGTACCACATGATTGAAATGATATCCACTCCTCTAAGTATACGACTATGTATATAAAACATTTTACATGTATAATTTAATCTGACGCTGAATATTTTCTTGAAGACTACTGTAGGCTTCATTTTCAGAGTGCTCTAAGACATTTGAAACATCTGACACCATAGTGGTACTGATACCAAAGTATGACATATCCTGAATTTTAGGACCAGTTGCGCAGGTTCCAGCAGGAGTTTAACATATATGTCCTGTCTGTCATGTATGTCTACAATATTGACAGAATGACAAACTAATTTCAAAGAAAAGCGATGTGAGGTTCTTTATATATATTTCATTAGTCATACTTACAATGAAAAAAACCAACACTGATACTAAAAAATACATTACCCCTCTTAAAACCACCACTGATGTACCAATAACCTGTCTGTACATGATGAGTGGGAGTCAAGGGAAGTTTCCTTCCTATAAAGGAATAGATGTTTTCATAATTTTCTCTTTCATCCTGGAAAAAGTGTAACTGATTAACTTTTTAAATATTCCTTTATGTATGCTAAGATCAAAGTGTGGTGTGTTTTTAATTTTGGGCTTTACATCTTGAAATTGAGTAATAGCATTTTTTATTCAATTTTTCAGTGAAATGCGGACAGAAGAAATGTGATATCTTGGCATACAATTATTATTATTATTCCTTAAAATAAAATAAAAATCCAAAACACTACCCCTTGAGTTGTGGTCACTGGATATATTCCAGAAAGTTATCTTCATTTTTGTTTTAAAAGAACTAGAAGTCAGCATGTTGCTATTGCTTCTTGACATAAAGATAATGTCCTTTATGTCCAGTTTACAGCTCAGTTCTGTAACACTATCATAGCAGAGTCTTTACCACTTTAAATGATAAAAGTTTCAATAGGCACTTTAGTGGAATTAAGAAAAATCTACCACTCTTCCACCGTGATGCCAGAAAGCTAGCTTCCGTCTAAGTTGTCATATCAGTACATTGTAGCTAATAGGCCTGAGCTTGTCTCAGTGTTATTCCCAAGTAACAAAAAACAACAACAAAAAAGTATATCTTACAGGGTTTATCCTCCCTTTGCAGACCAAATCAAAACTGACAGTATGATAAATATAGTAACTTGCTGGAAACAGGTGCTGTCTTTTTATAATCAAAGGAATCTTGTCCTATAAAGCCTGGGTTTTATTTTTAATTTGTTGTTGTTCTAGTTTTCTTATTCTTTCCTTTTGCCCCCCCCCCCCTTAAGTTCCTTTTTTAGGTTTTTCATTTTTTTTCTTTCCGAACATCTCTGCCAAGACTTTAAAGCGGGGTCCCCAGTCACTCAGGTAATCGTAATCCTGGTCTGCATCTGTAGTAAGTGAATCTATAGAGCTCAGAGACTCTGCTACAGATCCATTTCCTTCATAGGCATAGGTTGCCAGTGAATCATAAGGGGGTGCAGTGGGATCCGCATCGTTTTCCTGCAGCCTTTGATTAATGAAATCTCTTATGTCTGTGTTGTCTTCCACTGGTGGTCTCTGACGTGGGAAACATAGAGAGTCTGGTTTTATATCCCTGCGTATTTTGTTATCTTCAATCACTTTTGGATTCCTCAGGGCACCGATGTCGAAAGCCTGGGTGTCTTCCTCCCCACCTCCTTCATCATCATAATGGATAACATTGTCTCTGATGTCTTCTTTAGAGGTCATCAGGGTGTCTTTTTTCTTCTGCCTTCGAAGTGCTACGTACAGCACAACAATGACTGGAACAAGGGAAGAATTGTAAATTAAGACAAGTATGGAAATACCTTGGCTGTCTGCTGACACACTAATATATCCTTCTATGATAGATAAGAGCAATCAAAAGGACCTTTTCTTTAGAAGACATGCTCCTGCTGCTTTTTTTTTTTTAAACAGTGCTATAATCAGTAAGGTAATATTTGCAGCTTGACACACCTAACTCCCATCATTGCTAGCTATGCACCGAATAATGAATAAGCCCCCAGAGGGCTTGCCTTTACTATAGAGCCATGTAGGAATCATATTTTTTTGTTTTGAGGGTAGTTTCACAATGTGAAAATTTATTCCATTCCAAAATGGATGGAAGAAAATTGAAAATTGTTAAAATTTCCTGCAAGCTGAAATTGTGTGTGTGGGAGGAGGGGGGAGGGGGGGATTGTTTGGATTGATCAGAACTTTTCATTCAGATTTTGCCTTTTTTATTTCATATTGTATTTTATAAAACACATTTTAAAATAACTGAAACAAAAATAATTTTGAAACAGAAAACCAATGTTCTGTATCAAAGAGGTCAAAATGTTCCTTATCACTGTTTTTGTTGTTGTTGTTGTTGTTTTTTTCCAATTTGGAAATTAATTTTCATTAATGGTGACATATTTTTTGCTATATGTTTTGTTTATTAACGAACCAGCATATTCTGGTGGAAAAGCGATTCATAATAATATTTGAACATGACCTTGAGGAGTCACACTAATGACATGATGCTGATAGTGACTTTGCAGTCAGGAACAAATCATGTTCAACATGATATCAAAAGGTTGGGCTTAAACCCTGGTCCTAATAATTTACCCAGGAACCAGTGACACAGTACTGAACATGACTTCTCCCTGGCTACACTGACTGCAGGATCATGGCCAATAATATTATGTTAATTAACATGGCTCTTCAAAATGCTGTTCTAACTCAGTGTAGTTTTCTAGTGAAAATGAATCTTAAGGGTACAGCAGGTTGTTGACTTTTGAAATATCTGTTTTTAAAATTTCTGTATCAGGTAGGTTTCTTAAATAACAATTATAGAGGAGGCTTCTAAGTTACAGATACAACAATAAATAGTAGGAAGTGGGTTTGAGATATAGAAGATCACCTTAGGCTATGGGGAGTACGAAAGATTGTCATTGACAAATTAATGTTCCTAGGGCAAGTGTAACATAGCACACTGTTACCAGACTGAGTGGAATGCAGAGAACCACTAATAGACCCAAATCCTCTACTCTGTACAAAGCCAAAGTAAATGGCCCTCAGAGTTCTGTGGGAATCAGTGATGGAACTGACCCCTCAGACTCCAGAGTCTCTTAGCAGCTGTTGCTATAGTCCGTGTTACCCAGTTGCTGTGTCACAGCATAGAATTATAGACATGTAGGACTGGAGGGGACCTTGATAGGTCATCTAGTACAGTGTTTCTCAATCTTTTGGGGCTCAGGACCCATTTGTAAAAGTTTACGACCTGTCTCAACCCAGTAAATAGTCTGAGGGTGGAGGTCCTGGGATGGTTTCGGTCAGATCCCGTCCCCTGTGGGGGATGGGTCTTGTCAGGCACTCGCTCCTCAGTGGCAGCTCCTGCAGCTCTGTACTGTGAGGTTGGTTGTTGGGCTTGGCTCTCCTCTCTGGGCATTGCAACATCTGGGGTTGAAGCACAGCTCAGGTTTGGCCTGTCCCCCTCACTGGACTAAATTTGTAAGAGTGAAGTTGTTACCTGGCTCATGGGGCTGCAGTGCCACTCACTCACATTTTGCCTACCCACGCTCCCATCATCATGGGCAGGCCATCCAGCACCATGTGACAGGAACAATTGGAGTTGCCATCTGACCCTTTGAAACATTCTGGCAACCCGATTTTGGGTCCCGACTCCGGGGTTGAGATACCCTGAACTGACCAGTCCCCTGCACTGAGGCAGGACTATTAGTAGTAATAGTGTTATCTAGAACAGTGGTTTTCAACCTGTGGCCCCCCAGATCCTTGGAGGTCCACAGACCATGACTAAGATTTACAAGAGGGTCCACACTGCCATTTGAATTTTTTTAGGGGTTCACAAATGAAAAATGGTTGTAAATCAGTGATCCAGACCATCCCTGACAGGTTTTTGCCTAACCTGTTCTTAAAAATCTTCAAGGACAGAGATTCCACAATCTCCCTAGGTAATTTGTTCCAGTGCATAACTATCTTATATGCCGGGAGTGAGTGTGTTCAGGTGTGTGTCCTCCACCAGTAGTTGTGTGTAAGGAGCTGGTCTGAAAAGTTTGGATTCAGGGCATTTAATACCTTGAAGTACTATTTTAGGCATAAGCTAACACCTATCAGAATCAGAGTCTACTGTGTAAGCAATAAAGTAGGTTTGATTACACTAATAGTGTACTAGGGCTTTATTCTGGGGAAGGTAGGCAGTAGCATGGGCTGCCAATTACATTGTATAAGTAGGTTTCAGAGTAGCAGCCGTGTTAGTCTGTATCCGCAAAAAGAACAGGAGTACTTGTGACACCTTAGAGACTAACAAATTTATTTGAGCATAAGCTTTCGTGGGCTACAGCCCACTTCTTCGGATGTAGCCCACGAAAGCTTATGCTCAAATAAATTTGTTAGTCTCTAAGGTGCCACAAGTACTCCTGTTCTTTTTACTGTATAAGTAAGACCTCATGGTAAAGAGCGCTTGTACTCAAACAGCAATGTCATGCTATGGAATCAGTTTCTGTACAAATGTTATATTATTTTGCAATGGTCCAGTCAGCCACAGTCTACATTATAATTATGTCTTCCTGTCTCATTTCTTCTTTCTTCTTACTTAATCCCTCATAATAATTGAAGAAAGGCCCTTACCAGGTAGCTGCTAGTGCGGACTTAGTAATTTTAAATATATGGAAATCAGTTCCTTATGAAATGTATTTAATCAACACTGTTTCAGAGCAAAATTTGCATTTCAAACCAAACTGTAAGGTATTTTTTCCCTACTCCATAAAAAATGTGTAGTAGTTAGCAGATTGCATGCTCGGATTCAAATTAATGGTCAGTGCTTTGGGATATTTTTCTACAAAGGTAGAAGCATAAATGTTCTCTTTGTAAATAGTCGTACATTTTCAGTGGCCTTTGTTAAACAATAAATGGAACTATGGTGACGCAAATTAATTCACAAGTAGAATCAGAGACATACTTTGTTACAGGATGAAAACTAACCTAGAAGTATAACAATACACAGCAATATTGCGATCAAAGCTCCTGTGCTGAGTCCAACTGGTAGGAAGATTGCTTCAACATTGCAGGATAGGATGGTACCATCAGAATCGCATCTACAAACGTGGATAGTCATTGTGTTTGTGCTGCTCTGTACAGGATAGCTGCTGTCTTCTATCACAACTGGGAGGAAATACAAGTCTTGCTGCCTACGGCTGTAGCCACTTCTCCTGGTTTCAATTCCAGCTGTGTTGTCTGCAAAACATGACAGTCATCATAGGATTGTTTCTATTGTGCTTCACTTAACATTTAAAAGTTTGTATTTTGTTGAACAGCAGAAAAATAATCTGGCTTCCTGAATCAGTGGATTATATATGCTCTGTAAATCCCTTGGTACATTATTACTGAAGCTGTCAAATTCAAATCAGATGCAGCCAAGTTTTTTTTTTTCAAGGCAACAACTAATCTTTGTTGTTTGTATACATTTATCCTGCTAAGCTTGACAGCTAACATTTCAAAGCAGAAATGAAAAAGAATATATATTTCCTTTTTTTTTTTCTGTAACAGGTATTCCATTAGCAGGGGATTTCAATCTTTCCTTTCCTTTCCTTGCAGTGGAGTTTGGATCAGGTCCCTATTATGAATATGTCTCACTTTAACCCTTTTTGGATTTGACAATGAGGCAGCTGGAGGAAGCACAGTACCCCTCGATTTCCCCACCCCACTGAAAACAGACAATTAAAAAAAAATTACAGGAATCAACTGAGCCCTTCATACCATTAGTACATTTGCCACTAATCAGTGCGCAAACTGTACAGAGCTCCCAGGAGCTGAGTTTTGCCACTTCTTCCCAGCAGGAGCTGACTTACCACTGCTTTACATGAATCAAGCAAACTTGAGTAGGAAAGCAATGATGTGAAGATTAAAAGGATTAAGTAGAGGCGAAAGGAAAAGCATGATTGGAAAGCAATTTACTGTCAGGTCTGATTAGGGATAGCCTGCAGTGCTCATTCCCCTTTACCATCTCCCCCATGTGCATTACTGTCTAGTTCAGATCATTTGCTGCAACATTACAAGAGTTCACTTACTAGATGTTTTTTTCCCTTCCCCCTTTGAATCCTGCCACTGAATATAAAGATTAAGAGCCACATCCAGCTCTCAGATACCTATGTTCAACAATCATTAAAGCTGATAGGAGTTGAGTGCAAGTATCTATAGACCAGATTTCTTAAGCACCTAGATACTATTCTGATTAAAGCCGGTTGAACGTTGTCCAACTGAACATCTTTCTGTCAGACAATGGTGTTTCATTGAAATTGAAACTTCCCACAGGAATGTGTCAGTTTTGACAACATTTTGTCATGCTGGGGCAGGGGGGGAGCTTTTTTGATAAGGTCTAAAAGTTCCATTTTTGACCTGAACATTTTGATTTCTTTAGTATCAACATGGCATTCCATTAAGAAAATAATTTTATGTTGTATAGTAATGTCAAAATTGAAACAAAAGATTTCAATAGTCCCAAAATACTCCCCCCCTCCCTTCATGGGTAATTTTTGAAGGGTTTTTTTTTTTTTTTTTTCTAAATCAGAATGAAGACAAAGAATATAAAAATTCTGGAATGTACCACAAAACAGAAACGGTGGTTCCCACACAGATCTAATTCTGATTAGGTGCCTTACGGCTGGTCTACACTTAAAAATGCCACAGCTGCACCACTGCAGTGGCGCTGCTGTAGCTCTTCAGTGTAGAAATGACATACACTGATGGGAGGGATTCTCCTGTCAGTTAGGTAAGCCACCTCCAATAGGTGATAGCTAGGTCAACAGAAGAATTCTTACCTTGACCTAGCGCTGTCTACTAGGGGACTTAAGTTGGCTCAACTATGTTGCTCAGAGGGTGTGGATTTTTCACACCCCTGACTAACGTCGTTAAACCAACCATTTTTTTTTCCATTGTAGAACAGGCCTTGTAAGTACAATAACAGACAGGTAGGATTTGTTCCTAAATGCAAATATCAATAGTTATGGGAAATTAGCATAAAATGGGCCTAAAAAGGTTCTTTGGATGTATGTGTGTGCCTCTGGCACAGTGTTGACTATTCTGGTAACTTGTATTTTATTGTGAGTCCTGCAGTGCTTGGTGTTTTTTCTTTCTTTTATACCCAAACTCCTGGAATCAGGATAATCTCAGCTTTCATTTAAAAATGTTTTAAAACCTCATAGTTGCAGAGAGAAGCTTAAAAACATGAAATCACTTAAAATATTGTTTTTTGTTTCTTTGAATATCTCATGATTTTATGTCATTTGTGATTTTTGGGAGCCTTAACTCATAAGGTTTGAATGGTTGGGGCTGGCAAAACTGCTGCCATTGCAGTTGCTAGGAGTCAGTACACGTCATTAAGAGCAGAATCTGGTAGACTACTTTGGTGTGGTTTCCACTCAGCCTTTGGTCCCACTGATTTCTTCCCCCTGCCCCCACCCCCCACCCCAAAAAGAAGAAAATCAGTGTTATGAGACAAACTCGTTCATGCTTCATTTCCCTTCTGTGCCTTCCTTCTTCATTTCATGGCTGAACTTGAGGTAGAACTGGATGCAGTTGTTTCATGACAAAATGCTGCTTTCTTGAAACCAAAGCCTCTTGTGGGAATGTAACAGTTTTAATGAGAGAGGTTTCTCAAGCCCAGGATGGAATTTCTGGGGAGGGAGAGAGCGAGCCATCCCAGAACAGCCAATAGCCCAGTGGTAAAGGCACTCACCTGGGATGTGAGAGACACAACTCCTTCTGATTCAGGCTATTTGGGGGTGTCTCCCTCTTTTTTTTTTTAATGGAAAAAAAATTTAAGGTCTCAGTTTTGTCATGATATACAATGGGAAAAATTCTGACATCTTGAAAAAATTTTCAGGGCAGTAAATAGAGCTGGTAAATAGAATAAATTAACTGAGGTACTCCTCCTACATTCTACTTCACCTCATTCCTTCAAGCCCCTACCTTCCTATTTCTGGGCTTCTCTTACTCTATCATCAGCTTCTTATTTTTCACCTTCTATCATCAGAAAGGGCTCACTGGCTGACTATGTAGGGGAAACAGTGAACGTGATTGTGCAATAAGTGCTATCAAATGCACTAAGTAAATGAACTGAAAAAAAGAAGAAAGGTGAAACTCTTTGTGTAAAACTTCACTGTGCATGAATCATAATGCACTTACAAAAATGGGCTATTGCATGTACATACTGATGCTGTGTAGTTCTCTTTGGCTTTGACAACAAAATACAAACGCTGGTACAGATTAGTTGGCCTTTTTTTTGACTCATGAACAATTAAGGCAATAGATTATGTAAATATAAAACTGTCATGGATTATTTACATACTGTATTATATTTACATATTCAATAATATTAAAATATTCAATTTACAAAATATGTAAATTATTTACACAGATTAACAAATTTTAAGGCCAAAAGGGACCATTAGATCATCTAGTCTGACCTCCTGTATACCACAGATCCTTACATTTCACCCAGTCACCTTATTGAGTTCAGTAACTCATGTTTGGCTAAAGTATATCTTCTGGAAAGGCACCCAGTCTTGATCTGAAGTCATCAAGAGCTGATAATCCACCATTTCCCTTAGTAATATGGGTAAACAACTTACTCCTGTAGTCTTGGACTGTGAAATTTGGTTTGGTGGACGCCTCAGGTGACAGTCTAAAGGAAAACCTTTGTCCAGCAGGGGACAAATCTTTGTCCGCAGCACTGACAGTCTGAATTACCTGAAACCAGATTGAAATTGAATTTGAGGTCAGTTCACTCTTTTAAAAGAAACAGCTTTGCAAGAACCTTAATGTAGTCATCAAATGAAACAACAGAAATGGACATTTAAGCAATAAGACATGACAGAGACTGTTTCCTGCTGGAATAAAGTGCCATTCTTCTGTGTTGTAAGGTAAGAGGATGAAGGCAGAATGCCACATTCTCTTGCGGAGTGGTGTATCCAAGCAAGTCACACTGTGAGCTGTCTGAATGAGATTATAAAATCATCCCATGAAAATAAAAATGGAAACAAATAAATATTTTGTAACTTGTACCTAAAAAGCATAGTGATAGTCACAGGATAGATATAGATATTCTCTTGCCAAGTAGTAATGTCATACTATATAGTTCGCATTAAGAAAAACATGATAATTAGGATGAAATAAATGCGACTTTCAAAATAGAGACAGGTTTGAATCAAAACTCCAGATCTGAATGCCTTTCACAAACTCTGTGGAAGTTTGGCTCCCCATAGGCTCTTGCTATAATTGGTTTAGAGGGAATGGCCAAGAGTCTGTCTCAGAAGACCTCTTTTGTACACAAATGGCGGAAGGGAAGCATCAGGGCAAAGAGAGAAGGCCAGAGATGCAATAGTTTGGGAGTATGTGTGGGACTCTGTCTTTATCTACACGTACATCTTGCACTGGTTAGAGTAAAATTGTTTTTAAAGCTGATGTAGTAAAACCGGTACAAACCCCTTTGTGGATGCTCTTAAGTCACTTTGCACCAGCTTTATTGATTACCAACTTAATACCAAACTTATGTAAAAATGCTTTTTATCAGCAGCTTTCGTAGCTCTTTACAAAGGAGGTTAGTACCATGTCCCCATTTTAAACATAGGGAAAGTGAGGCATAGACTCATAGACTCATAGACTTAAAGGTCAGAAGGGACCAATATGGTCATCTAGTCTGACCCCCTGCATGATGCAGGCCACAAAAGCTGACCCCCCCACTTTCCCTTAGCTCTGCTGTTGAAGTCTCCAGATCGTGATCTAAAGACTTCAAGACGCAGAGAATCTTCCAGCTTGCGACCCCTGCCCTATGCTGCGGAGGAAGGCGAAAAACCTCCAGGGCCACTGCCAATCTACCCTGGAGGAAAATTCCTTCCCGACCCCAAATATGGCGATCAGCAGAACCCCGAGCATACAGGCAAGATTCTCTAGCCAGACCCTCATTTGACCAGCGATGGCCGTTATTGCCTAATTGATTAGAATCACGTAATCCCATCAAACCATTCCCTCCATAAACTTATCTAGCCTAATCTTGAAGCCAGAGAGGTCTTTCGCCCCCACCGTTTCCCTCGGAAGGCTGTTCCAAAATTTCACTCCTCTGACGGTTAGAAACCTTCGTCTAATTTCAAGCCTAAATTTCCCCACGGCCAGTTTATATCCATTCGTTCTCGTGTCCACATTAGCACTGAGCTGAAATAATTCCTCCCCCTCCCTGGTATTTATCCCTTTGATATATTTAAAGAGAGCAATCATATCCCCCCTCAGCCTTCTTTTGGTTAGGCTAAACAAACCAAGCTCCTCGAGTCTCCTTTCATAGGAAAGGTTTTCCATTCCTCGGATCATCCTAGTTGCCCTTCTCTGTACCCGTTCCAGTTTCAGTTCATCCCTTTTAAACATAGGAGACCAGAACTGCACACAGTACTCCAAGTGAGGTCTCACCAGCGCCTTGTATAACGGAAGCAGCACCTCCCTGTCCCTACTAGAAATACCTCGCCTTATGCATCCCAAGATCGCATTCGCTTTTTTCACAGCCACGTCGCATTGCCGACTCATAGTCATCCTGCGATCAACCAGGACTCCGAGGTCCTTCTCCTCCTCAGTCACTTCTAACCTATGCGTCCCTAGCTTATAACTGAAATTCTTATTAGTCATCCCTAAATGCATCACCTTACACTTCTCACTATTAAATCTCATCCTATTACTAATACTCCAATTTACAAGGTCATCCAAGTCTCCCTGCAGAATATCCCGATCCTTCTCCGAGTTGGCAATGCCTCCCAACTTTGTGTCATCCGCAAACTTTATCAGCCCACTCCTACATTCGGTTCCGAGGTCAGTAACGAATAGATTAAATAAAATCGGACCCAGAACCGAACCTTGAGGAACCCCACTGGTGACCTCCCTCCAATCTGACAGTTCACCTTTCAGTACTACCCGCTGCAGTCTCCCCTTTAACCAGTTCCTTATCCACCTCTGGATTTTCCTGTCGATCCCCATCTTATCCAATTTAACCAATAATTCCTCATGCGGAACCGTATCAAACGCTTTACTAAAATCGAGGTATATTAGATCCACCGCATTTCCTTTATCTAGACAGATGACATGTCTTGCCCGAGGTCACAAAGCAGGCCAGTGGAAAGAGATGAAACTAGAACCTAGGTCTCCAAAGTCCCTGGTCCAGTGCTCTATCCACTAAGCCCCATAAAAGCATGCTGTAAACTGATGTCTGTATGCCTTTATAAGAGCTTTCATTGGTTTTAAAAAAGAAAGCACTTTAGTTAGAAAACACTTAATATTGGTACCTGTTCAAGCTTTGCAATGCTCACCTGAACCAATTTTTTTAAGATTCTCCCATCACTAGTATCAGTGACTAGATAACACACTGATAGAGGCTTTATAAACACCATATATTACATTATACCGGTAAAATAATAAGGTAGAATACATAAGACAGATTAGTAGACAGAGGTACATGCAGACTATAGATGCCCACTGATTATTACAGCACCTCACTGATACTGGTTGATACACAATGCTCCTTTTGTGGTAAATTTTGAGCTCTCCCAGCCTTCTTCCCAAAATAAAAACAAATGGGTTGGCACTGACATTGGGATGAAGTACAAAAACTGAAAAACTGCCACCACCTAAATATAGATGTGGGTTAGCTCCCTGGCTTCTCAATGGAACCAACAATTTTTTGTCAGTCAATTTTTATATATTCATGTGTTTTGAAATCACAGACAAAACTGTCACTTAAAAATTAGTATGATGGTTACATAGGCAGGTGTGTTTTGCTTTTTGCTAGTCACTGATTATAGAGCAGGCAAAATCATTCTAATTCCATAGCTGATAACCAATATTCCCTCTAATTTTTTCCATTCATGTGTGAAATTCATTTTGTTATGTGCACCAGTATGGAGGTAATGTGCGGATGTGCACCATCAGTAGAAACAAAAAACCTAGATATAATATATATATTTTTAAAAAGTTACCATAGGGATAATTACTCCAGCCAGGACAGGTTAGGCATTTTAGAACTCACTACTCAAAGAATTAAATTTAAGCATAAAAGAGAAATAAAAATTATGAAATGAGTAGACCAGCCAAAAAAATAAAATAGCACTTTGAAAGAATAAAATTAGAGACTATGTGCGCATTGCAGGAAGTAACAACAACAAGAATAATACATGTGTTGGGAGGTGAGTGTGAAAGACTGTGTGTATGTGTGCACGTGAGACACAAAGTGTGAATGTGAGACACAGAGAAAATGTGTGTGTGTGTGAAAGAGAAAGAGACACACACACACGCACACATCTCTCTCCTCCGTGGCCCCAAGGCTGGGGGAGAGGAGTCTCTCCCTGGCCGCCACAGCCCCAAGACTGGGGCCAGGGGAGAGAGCTGTTTCTCCGGTCCCAGCCACAGCCCCGGGCAGACCTGGCGCCTGGGGTGAGTGGCGTCTCTCCCATCCCTGCTGCAGCCCCAGCTGGAACTGGGGCTGGGGGAGAGAGGCATCTCTCCCTCCCCCTAGTCTAGCATGCCCCAAGCTCCTCCAAACCCCCACCACCTCACCCCACTGCCCCCACCCTCCACATTCTTCATGCAAACCTATGTGCATGCCTGCGTGGCTGGTGCGTGGCCCTTGATGGCCTAATGTGCGGCCACACAGGCACACACTTAGAGGGAATACAGCTGATAACTGAAGTAATCAAACTGTTAAAGCTGCAAGCCCTGTTTCCTTGAGGCAAAATTTTGATAATTACAAAAGATGTTATGGCCTAGGGCTTTGCAGACCTTTGACTGTTCAGCACTTAAACAGGACCACATATCAAAGAATTGTGGACCAAATTCTGATGCTTCAGTCAGTTGAGAAACATCTTACTCTGCGTATTTTACTATTGACTGAAATGGATCACTTGTGGAGTAACGTGCTGTTCAGCTGAGTGAGGGTATCACAATCAGATCCTGAGTGTAATGTGTATATTTCAGACTGCTGATTTTGGGTGAAAATATGTCTGCTTTATTGAGACTTCTTCCCAGGTAAGGAACATATGGATAAAGACACCTGACCAAGTATCATCTAATTGCTTCCTTGAGCCCACCCCTGCTGTTTTATCCACCTGTTGTATATAGTCTTATGCTTAATCCTAAACTCTTTGGGGTAGGAATTGTCTCTTTTATATGCTTGTACAGTGCCTACAATGGGGCCCTGGCCTCTAGGTGCTACCATAATATAAATAAATAGTCCCAATAACAGAAAATGTGATGGGCAACAATAAGAATTTCAAAAGGCCAATGCTTGTTTTCATTGGGAACACATAGCTAATTTCCAAAAGGATTACAAGCTGATACTATCAAAGCTTTCTAGGGAATTTGGATGCTGAATCTTTGGTGCTCAAATCGCTTAGGCAGCTTTGAAAAATCTCATCCACAATTTTTTATTTTTAAGTGTGTCCCATGAACAATACAGTTTTTTATTTTTTTTTTAAACTGGCTTTTACTTTTATAAAATAATAGTAACATTAAAAGGAAACCAAAATATCAAAATACCTGTCCCGGTTTTGCGTTTTCACATACAGATGTCTCATATGGCACTGAAATTTCTGGAGGAAATTCGTTGACATCTAAGACATTTATTATAACATTGACCTTGCTGGTTAGTAATGGATTACCTATAAAAAATTTTAGACAGAAAGAAAGAAAAATTAGGAAATACTATTTCTGTATGTCCCTCTCAGCAGTGCCCATTATCTTGCATGAAACAGTCATGGGTTCCAGATACACAGCTTTCACACTAGTGCAACTCCTTGACTTCAACGGACTTAGTTTTCATTCTTACCAGTGTGAGATCTGACTCAATTCAAGGGCTTTATTGTTTTGGACCAGATCCTGATTACCTAACTTACACTGAGTAGTATCTTCCTATTCATGGAGTAAGGTAATTACTCAATACAAGTAAGGGTATCTGAAATTGACTCTTCAGATGGAAATTATAGGTGCATACTATTTTTAAACCACTTTAAAATAATTCTACTGCTAATCATTTCCCATGATTTAAAACTGTATTCATTTTTTCTAATGATGAAATATAAAAAAACCCATAAACCTAATACTTACAAGCTGCTATACATCTTCAAGATGCTGTATAAATGGTAATTAATTAAGAAAGTAAATAGATATACACATTGTATGGATGGGGAAAATGAGAGAGAAGGGTTCAGTGACTTGCCAAAAAGCCACAGAGTAAGCCAGTGACAGTCAGCTTTGGAACTCAGGTGTCTCTAGATTATAAACCAATGGTTAGTCCACTAAACGATGCTGCAACAATTATCCATTCATTGTACAGGTAACACATACATATGTGCACAAAATGAATATTTAAAAAGAGTATGCATCATGTTAATAGGCGATGACCTTCCAACTCTCCCAAATTGCTGTGTTCTACAGATATTACTGGAAAGTTGTTTATAGATTTATGTGCAAATTCAGTGCTGGTGTAAGCAGGAACAATTCCACTATGCAAAATTCTCTACATTACACAGCGGTAATCCTAGGGACTTAAAAGCAATTGTGTTAGAAAATCAAAGGATAATTTTGTCCCTCAGGATTGAAAATATGCAGGCTTCAATGCAGTTACAATTAGCCATAAAAAAAAATGTGTATGTGCTATGAGTCATGCCTGGCAGAGACACAACAACATGGGATAAAAAATATAAGAACTCTCTTAAACCTTCACCCATTTTTAGAACCAAATTTACACAGAACCTTTCAGAAGTGCTGAATTATTTGGATTACTTGTGTATTTAATATTTTTTGCACAAGCCACTGCAAGCCTTGGATCTATGGCCAGCACAGCCAACAGCGGGGATGGAGGATATAATAATTTGCTTTGTGTATAGGCTAGCAATTTACAATTCCCCACCTCCAGACCAACATAAAAGCATGGTGGGAGTTATACCTCTGAGAGGCATAACTTCTTTCCTGTCCAGTGGCACAGCTGTATGCTACCTCTTACAAAGCCACAATCTATACTTGAATGATTTCCAAATCAAATTCATTCCATTGCAAGTAAAAAGTTGTTGTTATAAATATACAAGTAAAGTACTGCTGCTAGCCCTGCAATCTCAATTTAGGATCTAAAAAACAACAACAACAACAACAACAAAAGAATATAAGCTGTGTTATTTCTTCTTGTGAATCAACACTAGTACAAGTGCAAGTCAAATTCTGTTCCTTTGCAACCCCATTTCTTTCAAATTCATCATCAGCTACACGTGTGCAACCTCGCTGAAGCCAAATGGATATAACAGAGGACAGAATTTGGCCCCACAGTTGAGAATTAAGTGACAATTCTGTTGATAGACAATCTAAAATAAATTCTACCCTACTCTCTCAAGGTTGAATTGTCTCTGTAGTGCTAAAAAAATAAAAATGTAGCAAAAGTTTATTTTAGTCACTAAAGAAAGCATCAGTGATTCTGAATACACAGAGATCAGATGGGTCAAGTAAGAAGGTTTTGTTTTCAAAGCTTCTCTTTCAACAGTACCTCATTTTAAAAATCTTGCCCATGCAGTCGTGCTCTCTGGAAGGAAAATTGTATATTCATACAGAATAACTTGGTCATACATGAGTCTTTGAGTCTATTGTAAGTTCATTTTAGGGGAAGCAATGAAGATCATTCTGGATTGTATTAGCAGGAGTGTTGTAAGCAAGACACGAGAAGTAATTCTTCTGCTCTACTCCATGCTGATTAAGCCTCAACTGGAGTATTGTGTCCAGTTCTGGGAGCCACATTTCAGGAAGGATGTGCATAAATTGGAGAGAGTCCAGAGAAGAGCGACAAAAATGATTAAAGGTCTAGAAAACATGACCTATGAGGGAAGATTGAAAAAATTGGGTTTCTTTAGTCTGGAAAAGAGAAGACTGGGGAGTTACATAACAACAGTTTTCAATTATGTAAAAGGTTGTTACAAGGAGGAGGAAGAAAAAATGTTTTTCTTAACCTCTGAGGATAGGAGAAGAAGCAATGGGCTAAATTGCAGCAAGGGAGGTTTAGGTTGGACATTAGGAATAAGTTCCTGTCCGGGTGCTTAAGCACTGGAATAAATTGCCAAGGGAGGTTGTGGAATCTCCATCATTGGAGATTTTTAAGGGCAGGTTAGACAAATGCCTGTCAGGAATGATCTAGATCAGTGGTTCCCAACCTTTCCGTGTGGTGGGGGCCGGATGACTAGCCGCCGAGGAGCGTGGCTGCCGGACAAGCAGCCGCCGAAATGCCGCCGAGAAGCAGCAATGCCAAGAAGCATCGCTGCCGAAATGCCGCCGAGAAGTAGCGTCACCAAGAGGCGTCTCCACCGAAATGCCGCCGAAAATCAGAGGCATTTCGGCGGCGACGCTTCTTGATGTTGCCGCTTCTTAGCGGCATTTCGGCAGCTGCTTGTCCGGCGGCCAGTAGGTGGGTGCACATAGATGCCCCGGCGGGCACCATGGCACCCGCGGGCACCACATTGGGGACCCCGGTCTAGATAATACTTAGTCCTGCCATGAGTGCAGGGGACTGGACAAGATGACCTCTCAAGGATACTTCCAGTCCTATGATTCTATGAGAGATAGCTGCAGAAGAAGTTCTGAACCTAAGTTGTAGACGAATATGACAATATGAGGGCACAGTCATCACTGTCAGTTCCTTTTTATCATTAAAAATATATTAAAATATTTTTCTAATAATGCATTAGTTGTGAATGATGTATGTTCTTTCAAGTGTCTTGTAAATGGAAGCAGCTGACTAGTTAAACTGTTTAAAATCTTGGTAATTCCTATTAAAGTAGTAATCTCTCTCTATATCATATTGATTTGAATTTTCTTTTGGAAGTGTTTCATATGAAAGATTATTTTCATTTTGTTTTCAGCTTCTGTAGCACAGTGTAGAAATTAATGGGGGTAAATTTAAAAAAAAAGAAAAGTTAAGAAGGAATTCAAGTGACTGCCATAAAAATCAACGGGAGTGGTTTGGTTGTGGTTTTTTATTAATTCCTGTGCACCACTTTGAAAATATACTCGTTTTAGCCTGTCACTGATAATCGTGAAAGATAATAGAAGGGGGCAGATTCCTCTATCCTTACTCATGTTTGCTAATACCTTACAAGAGTGCTGCCTGAGTCTAGCTATAATCATAAGAATAATAGTCGGGCTACCAGACTTTGTTACTATAAATAATAATAATAATAATTAATAATAAATAGAATTTTCTCTTGCTCTGGTCCTTCAATATATTTCCTTTTAAAAATTATAACCTGAGGTGCTCTGGTGCTAATAATAGCATTATATGAGCCATAGCCAGCATTATCAGCTTGTAAGGAAAGTCTGCATTATTCATCCATATCTGCATTCAGGTTTATATATTGCCTGCCACTATCTTTAGCAATTTGAGTTGCATAGTACTTGTGCTATTACTGGAAAGTAACTTGATCTCTTGAGGCCTACACAATCACTCCTAGTCAAGATTAGTTGCTGTGGAAGAAAGGTAAGATAAGCATTGTCATTGATTTTAAATACGGCCCCTCTTGAAGCCACAGATGCGCAATGGAAAACAATAAGGACTGTGTCCCAGGGATGAGACAGGCATAGCTGAATCACAGAAACTTGTTCATGACCTTGATATTATTTTCCATGCAAAGTGGCATGGTGGCCCAGTTTCATTTGTACTTCTCTTTGGGCTGCTGGGGGCCAAGATAGTGGGCAGTATTTAAGTGATAAACACAAGAAGCAGACCACATAGTCAGTTGCAAAAGGGCCTTAGGAGCCAGCCAGATGTGGGATTTTCTCTAAATTGAGGGGAACAATCTTAATATTTTGTTTTTGTTCATTTCACAAATGTAGATTTTTGTATGAGAGGAGAAAACTTTAGACAGCAGAGAAAAGTGTTAACTTTTGTGATCCATTGTGCCTATGCTGATTTGGACACCTAAATACAAGTGATCTGACATTTTCTGAAGAGCTGAGCACAATCAAATCCCAATGAAGTCAGTAGGAACTGCAGGTGCTTGGACAATGGTGGTACAACCCCCTGGAACTTGTCTATAATCTCTACTCTTGGAGCAACACTTATTGGGTAACTATGGGATGGAAAATTGCTAATGAAGACAAGAGAAGGATGGTTTGTGCATAAGTCACTGGGTGGGGAGCTGGGACATCTGAGTTCACTTCCTGGCTACAGAACTCTTCTGTGATCTTGGGCAATTTGCTTCACCTGTGCCTTAGACCATTATCTGTAAAATAAAACATGTGGAGAATTGGGGCCCTAGAGATTGCTTTTGGAAATTTGGGCCCTTAGCTATTAAATTCATACCTTGCATACTTGAATTGTATGTATATCACTCCATAAATACACACATGGTTAGGCTTTTTTTTTTAATAGGCTAGAACTGAGGGCTATATACAATTACTTGAATGGATGATACTGTTAACCAAATCATTCTCCCTCATCCTGGGAGAATTAAAATTAAAATGTCAATTTTTGTATGTCCTAATTTTCAAAAGTTATATAAATTTTGTTTTGCTGGGGTGGCTTGGAATGAGGAACATATGAGATTATTTCATCAAAATTGTAAAAGGCAATTGAAAAAAAGATAAGTGAACATCTTTTGCTCACAGCTACGATAACAATTCAAAAGGCATATAAAACCTCATGCTTCTGGACAGAGGATAACCTCCAATTGACAGGGTTACGAAGAAACTTTCTTGATGGGCTGGTTATTCTATAATTGTCCATTATGAGGTATTTTTCACCTTCCTTTGAAGCAGCTGGTAATGGCTACTTTCAGAGACAGGACACTGGACTAAATGGACCATTAATCTGATCAGGTGTTGCCATTCCACAGTTCCTACATCAGTATTGAGTAACTGCCATAATGTTCAGTTTTAAAGCAGGAACTCGTCTAAATAATTAAATTAGCTTTCTCTGTCTTTTTCCAATGGTCCCCTCAGTCCTTCTCCCTGACAGAGGCAGTGCATATGATAAAATATTTAAAATGTTTCCACGGCAGGGAAATTCAGAAACTTGTCCTTTTCCCCTCCTCTACTTAGCATTTCTGAAATCCCAGCATTTCCCTCTGTTACCTCTGAGTCAGACAGACCTATATGAAGCTTTGACAGGTAATATTTCTTCAGTCTCCAAAGTATTACCAATTATAGGTGTAGTGTATGTATAACATTTATTTTTAATGACATGAATAACATTTGATGCACAAATATTAAGGTATATGGGGATATGAATTTCAAATGTATGAGAGGTATAGGTTTACTAGGTTGGCTAATGGTTAGAATTGGGAATTTCATAATGTGGGCTACATGCAACAACTCTTAACATAAGCACATATTACTATAACTGTATTTCCCTTTATATGCCATGTTGAAGTGAACCTGGGTTTTTTTACCTGTTTTTTTAATTACTCTGGAGTCTGGGAGAATAATAGATTCATAATGAGTTCGCTAGAACAAATGCCTTATTTCAGGACAAGTTCGCAAATCGAAAATGCTCATTACTTACCAATAAATCTAAATATTTAAGCTTTGCTTAAGCACAGCCTATTAAGAGATCTCCATGCTGCAACACCATTTCTGCATGCCTTTCAAATTCTCTGAAATCAGATTACAATTCTGCTGGCGTATTTTTTTTCTAATTCACTCAAGAAAATGTACTTCCCCCATGCAAAGGTAAGGTCAGAAGTCACAGATTTAGGGTATATACATAATGAGATGACTCCTTCAGTTTAAGTGCATAGGCACTTTATTTTATTTCCTGTTCTATCTTCAGCCTTTAGGGATATTCCTCCGACTCAGTTTGGGATAACTACAACTGATTTTTTTTTCAGCTGGAGTAAGTTTTAATAATATATATATATATAAAGTCCTACCTTCTACGTTATTAGTATGTGTTGTTTATTGGGTAATAATTGCTGAATAATGAATAAGGGAAAACATGGTCCCTGCCTCTGTAACATACATTCTAAAACGGATAATCAATACAGTACTGTTGTAAAGTGCACATGGGGTCCAGATCCACAGCCTATTGAAGTCAATGGAAAGACTTCTGTGGATCAGATGCCAGATGATCGAACAACAGTTTTTTTTTCCAAAGGATGAAACAAACCTAGGAGAATTAACTTTGACAGGGAAAGAGGTGTGCTATACAGAAGGATGTGAATGAAGAGGGGGATGCTTGCTTGATGCCCCATGAGAAGGAGGGAATTCCCAACATAGGGGGGCAGATTAAAAGAAGGCACAGAGAAGAGCATGGGAGAAGACAACCAGGGGAGTGATTAGGCGGGGGGCTTAGGCAGATTGAGAGGAGAGATGGATCAGGCCGGTGAATTCACACAGAGCCTTCCATTACTGGTATCACCTCAACCTTAACTCCATTCTAATATAGTTTTTGTCTGGGAATTAAAATAACCATTATACTCTTCCCCACACAAAGAGGAAAGGTATGCTTTCTCCTTGACTGTCCTCAACTTGATCTTATTAAGTAAACAACAAAACAAAGAACAAAAGAATGGTCTCCATGTGAGAGCACCAACTCTCTCTCTCCTCTGTAACACCCACAGAGGCAGCAAGGAGGTACTATTTTCCATTTAAAAGTTCAGTACACATACGAGACACAAACTACAGTAGTTACACCACAGTTATCAATTGTTTAATCACAATAGTCCCAGTAAAATGCATGTTCTAATATCATCCTTTAACCCCAACCTCTTTCTGATAAAATTTCTATTGACTTCAGTGGGAACAGTGCTTGCATAAGGAGTACAGGATCAAACCTGACTATATGTGAGTATTTGAATATGATACTTAGCCTTACCAAACTGATACATGTTATGCATCCTTAAATCATTTCATACTAATAAACATTTTAGAGGAGGCTCACTTCTGAACATTGTATTCTGAGAGACACCATTTTAGCATCTTAATTCAATTCATGCCATACTTACTAACTTTACTTGCAATTATAGAGAAATTGTACTGTGCGGTGCTTTCTCTGTCCAGTAATTCATTAGTTGCAATGGTTCCTTCAGATCCATCTATTGTAAAGTAGCTGTCTGAATCACTCTTCCGATCTATGAAGTACCTGCATATGAAAAAAGTAGATGCAAATGTGCAATGATTATGCATTTATCATACTGGCAGCCAGGCTAGCTTGACGTGTTTTGTCCCCCCCCCCCCCTTTGTAAACAATGATTTCTGTATTTCAAAGTAAAGGGGAAATGGGAAATAATGAAAGATTTAGTACTACTAAAGTTCATATTATTTTAAGCCCTTGATACCTACAAACTCATCACATGCTACCCAGCTTCAATGACCTCCGATCACTACCACAAATCACTGCTGAAAGTACCAGAGATACTTGTAGGGGGAAAGGAAGAAGGGATGTGAAACAGCATCAAAGGGCTGGATTCTCTAATGCGATATGGGTGCTTTTCACCATCAGGAGGCACTAAAATGCCGGAAACTGGCAGCAACTGGCCTGGAGTGAATCCCCCTGTTGGAGATGAACTCCTTGAAGGCATGAGTGTACTGACTTCACACTGGGTGCCTATCAGTCCTCTTGTTCTTGGCTTAGGTGGCATATCAGGGTCAAGAGGGGTCATGTTGGGGGGAGACAGGGGTGGGAAGTGGGTGTGTTATAACTCCACTGCACTACATCTATCCTCCACTGGTGTAGAGCCCATCGAGGACCCTGTATCAATATATCAAATTAGAGCAGCCCATAAGCATCCCTGACTTTTGTCAGGTCTGTGGGAATCAGGGAGCTGTAACTGTCTTCTTGTCACTTCCTTTGAGCCCTTCTGTGCCAAGCAAAGCTCTGGCACAGCAGAGAATCAAGCTCCGTGTGTTTTTGTTCTCGGAAGGACTTAATAGAAGAAGTAGATGTGCTTGTCTGTGAACTGCTCTGTTTACAATCTGATAATTTGTTCCAAAACCATTCCCCTTGAATTCAAATTAATTTCTAGTGTAATTTCTCATCTGATGGTACTGTTTGCAATCATAAGAGAATAATATTTTTTCCAATGCAGTGCCCTGAGCTACTAATTCCTTTTTCTTTTTCATTATCAGGTAACAACAGCTGCACATCTAGCTGCCATTGCTTGAATAGTAGGCAGGGTGGAATGGACACAGTCATTTGCGAAAAGTAGACAATAAGGATAAAACTGATCGTAACTGTAGGTGAATTTAATAGAATGTAAATATCGGAGGACTGTGGACTTCACACATCTTGTGATTTTATGCTCCCTCCACTCTCTTGTGAACCAGTGAGAGTAAATGTAAAGTAGTATCCCATTTGCTATCACTCTCACTCATTACCTGTGATTTATAGGAAGAAAATATATATACTGTAAAGGCAAGCAGTAGAATACCAGACTTTTCCTCACTGCTGAATGAAGTGATGAGTAAAAGCAGTGCTTGACATATCCTAGCCTAAACCAACTTGAACTAAAACTCAAGAACTTCAATTGGAGAAGAGTTAAATTAAAGTTCATGACTGAGATGAAGTATTCCTTGGGAGATGTTTGCTTTCATTACAAATGTACATGCCCTCCAAGAAAATCCTATATATATGTGAAATATATTATTGATTAGCAGCCAGCTTTGCCAGTCCACATCTTAATTTTAAAATCCTTGTAAATGATTAGTTAAAGGCATGGTGTATAGTTGTATACAACTGAATTGCAATGGTCTGAT